GACATGTCTTTCACACTCCATTTCTCTTCTTGGGACTGTATTTTTTCTTGGTTTCTTCCACTGATCCTCAACTCCCAGACATGAGAGGTCAGAGCTTGGTGACACACAGATCTAAAATCTCCAGTGCCTGAAGCTTCACCATGCAGAGATGAGTTCAAGACCAACTTTGCAGCCCGGCCCCTTGCCATCACTGGTGAGCAGCAGGTACCCGCAGACCTTAAGTCTGTGCTCCCTTAAATATCCAGTGCTGCAAAGTGGGAGCTGGTTTTAAGCAATTTAGCTCAGATCTCACCAGTTTTGTGCACACTGCCTCAGAGCTAGGTCTGGGCCATTGCCCTTTTCTTTGAAGTCCATTGCATTTGTGATTTTCTTTGATCATTGCCATGGAAATGATTGAAATGTTTTTCTCATAAGTTTGTATGCACACAGGCATAAGAGGCCTAAGAACTTCAGTAAAGGTGAAATATCTGACCTTATCTTGACTGTGTTAGGAATAAGGTAACATTAAATAGGATGAAATTATATTATAACTACCTTGAGAGACTAATGAGGAGGGAGCGATATTACTCTACTACTTCTATCAATGTACTCAATACATTAAATGTCTGTGAAAGAGCTTTGCTAGCAAGCTTAGTGTGCACGGATCTGAAAATGCCAGACAGCACCTTAGGGTTTCTAAGGCACTTTCTTTTGCTGAATTTCCAGCGGTGGCACTTAATACCCAATATCTCAAAAGGGACAAAAATCCCTGAAAAAAAACCAAAATGGGGGGGGGGGGGAATCCATTCTTTTCCCACTGTTTCTGAACAGAAAGGTCACAAAAAAGGGAAAACTGTGTTTGCTGAAGAAACTCTGTTCTTGCTACATTCTCCCTGATTTCTGGAGTTTCCCAGAACTGTTCCATGTGCTGAGCCACAAGAAAGAAAGAACGAACTCTTTGCCCGACTATACTGTACTGATTATCCTGGTTTGGCTGATTTCTTATTCTACATGGCTTCATTATAAAAACTGACTTAGGAAACAGATCTCTGAGTCACTGCATTTAGTTCTTGCAAAAGCCATCCAAAGTTTAGAGGTGATCAAGCAGGGGAACAATGCTAGGAATAATGTGGAAACTGCTGAAGAATAAAATAATGGCATTTCTTAATTTTGATTATATGAGCCTGTGATAAACCAGTTCACAAACCCCACTTGTAATCATCTCCTCTGAAATAGTTAGAAGGGAACAAGAAAGGATGGAGAGCAAGAAAACAGGAGTGTGGTCTGGAAGGAAGAAATGGTCCATATGAGGTAAGCTGAGCAAACATTGGACTCATTGGCTATCCTACTGGGCTTTCGAATCATGAGTGATATTGAAAACATAACCAGGGAACAATTACTCATCCTTGCTTACAATGCACAAAATATTTTCTATACTGAAAAGATTTTTGGTGAATGGCTAAACTGAATCCCCAAATCAAGCTGAATATTTTGCTCCTTTGTAAGTGGTAACTAGGGGAAGAAACTGTATAAGGCTTGCATTTCATTTGAAGTATTACTGTATGTTTTGATTCATTTGGCTCAGTTCATGATATAATGGAGCATAACTGATGTAACTTGGCTTGATGTGTCTCCTTGTTACACATACTGGAACAATATCTGCAGAAACAGTTGAATTTACAATTTTTTTCAGACATCTATTTTAAGGATCAGTAACTTCAAACAAGCAGAGCACTTAGGCATATTTTAAAGGCTTATTTCCTGCAATCATGCATGGGTCATGGCTTAATCCTCATCAGAAAGCACACATTTTGGGATCCTGATTACAGGAGGAGCAGTGAAGGAAGGACACACAAAGAAAAGGAAAATTATCAGAGTTTTCAAAAAGAGCTCGGAGATCTTGCACCCAACCAGCAAATCTTTGATGCTAATTTAAAAGAGAGCTGATTATTTAAAATTCTTAAGGAGGGACCCCAACAGGCAAAACAAAGTTGATGATTCAAAATATCTGTTAGGAGAATTAATGTCACTGCACAGCACTGTGTGTCCATATGTGACACAAAGGACAGGCTGTGGAAGAATCAGCTATCCTGGCGGGGAACAGACAGCCTAATGGGAGGAGCAGCTAAATCCAATATTTCTTATTGAATTACAGGATTTCTTATCACTTTGCAATAAGGTTTTTAACAGTAAAGCAGGCCTGTGAATTATTTTTGAGAGAAAGAGTAGGGTGGCTTTGTTTGGCCTAAGCACAGCTTCTGCCAAATGAGATGGGGAGGCAAAAGGATCTTGGTGTTTTGCTTAAGAGAAGTAAAAATACAACAGCTATCTGCAGCAGGTAAGAACTGGATTCCAGACCACTTTGAATAAGTTAAGCAAATAATTGTATGTGAATAAATTAGGAAGAAAAATACTAAATACATTTCTTAATGCATACCATATGTTTTTTTGCAGCTTTTTAACAGAAGGCTCTTAAAAGAACACACATTGTCTGCATATACTTTCTGCAGTCACCACTTAATAGGCAGAATACTCATTTAGTGGATATATTAAAAACCTATAAGCATCCCTTTGAAGCCTGTGAATATATAGTGGAAGTCTGTTTATTCGTTTCTCTCATATCTAGATGAAGTGGCAAACATCCAAATTTCTTAAGTAATTTAATTTAAGGAATTTGGATATTTGACAGTTGAAAAGAAGGTTTTCATATTTAAAAAAAAGGAGGAAGGGAGTTTCCTTTGCAACACTATTTCATTTACTTTCACATATCATTGAAATGCCAGTATTTCTGGAGTATAGGAATTTTGAAGATACTCTGTTATTACAAATTAATGTTATTCTTGCTTTTAAGAATGTTTCCAAATGTCCTGAGACAGAAGCTCGTGTTCATTGGAAGTGCTCCCTTTCTCCTCATACCTTTCTGTTCAAAGGTTGTGCCAACTGATGTGGTTTGCAGAAGCCTCCAGGCTGCTATCATTTGGGCTAGCAGAGTGACCTTGGACTGATCAGGCAAAAAATGAAGGGAGCACAAATCATGCCAGTATTCATCTTCATTCCCACCCTTTATACTCCAGTCATTGTCCATAATCTCCCCAGATACGCCTCCAGAAATTGGGTTATGGCTGTCCTCCCCCTCCACATTTTTACCTGATGCCTGGTGAAGTCCACAGCAATACCCAGGGGTTTCAGCTCCAGGGGCATTGGCTCTGGCTATTGGCTCTGGTTCAGGTAGATGAAGTGTGGCAAGCAGAGACAGGATTTTAAGGTCTATTTAATTATCCCAGTAATTCAAAATTTGATGTGAACTTGAGTTGTTTATGTACCAGAGAGGATTCTGCTTCTGGAGGGATTCTGGCCTTGCTGCACCCTGTGTACACTGATTATTGGAAATGCAGCAACCAAACAATGTCTTGAGCAACAGCAGTAATAACAGTGTAAGAAGGATACTTTTCCCAGCACTGTAAAATATAAGAGAATATTTTAGGAGACATTTCAGCTGTCTTGCAGGAGAGAACTCCATGCTGCTGTGGCTGCTTCTCCAACACTACCTGAACTGTTTAGGTTTAAATTCTGAGACCCACATAACACCATGACTATGGCACAGGTATTTCTATGGCAAATGCTGTAAGAAATACTTGACATCTTTTCTCTCAGAGCACCACTGACTGTTTTGCCTAATCTAGGCAATGTGTAAGGCTACATAGCAGCCTGGATGCTGTTCAGGTGAACTTCTCTGAACTCCATCATGATACAAGTCCAACTGTGGTGACTGAGTCTTGCCTCACTGGACAGCTGATGGTTGTCAAGGGTGTTTTCAAGCCTTCTGTTGGTGGAGAAAAAGCCAGAAAGGCCAGGCTGCACATTTTATGAAAACTGGTTTGTAAATTCCAGATTCAAATATTTTGATTTTTAGGCTCAAATTTCATCTCACTACTGTGAAAAGCCTGTTACTCCCTACCTGTTACACTCAGAAGCACTTCTGCAGATGAAAACCAACTTTCCATGCTGCAACCTCCCACAGACATATGCACACACATTATGTTCCCAGTTTAATTGCCTTTCAAAACTGTCTTATCTTGGCACAAACTTGTCATTGGTTTATCTCTGCTCAGGATAAATGTATACCTAATCTTATTACTGGATGCACTCAGAGCAAGCAATCTCATTAATAGCTACCCTTAAGGGATTTTTATCCATGGATCAATTTCATAATTGGAACACAGCTACATAATATATAAATATATCCCTTCAATGGCACAGCCGTCCTCATGCTGTTCAGTCTTGCACATCTCATGAAAAAAAAATCCAGAAAGAATGTATTTTTAAACCAGAAATCCTTCTTGGAAGCTTGTTAAGTTTTCAGATCACACCACAGGCTTACAAGCTTGATTTGTCGGGTTCATGATAGTTGCTGGATATGTGAATTCTATCGTATTTAGCCTGGATAGTCACTAAGAATAGTTTCCCCTATTCTTGGTGGTAGTGCACAGAACTTTGTATGCTCTTTGTTGTAGCATATAGATTTCTATAATGGGAAAAACCTAACTTGTTAGCTTTGTTAGCTACATATCATTTTCAAAAGCAGCAGGAGCTGTCTAGCTTTTTAAAAATTAAATTACATTCATTATTCCATGACTGCAAAATACCCTACTAAGAGTGTAATAGCTTAAAGGCTTCCTATGCAACTTTACTTCATCATTAAATAATTATCCTTTGTGTACCTGAACTACACTTTTGTCACATCTCAAATACAGGATAGTTAGTGAGTAGGAGTCATTACTGAGGCTGAGTGAACCATTCATAATTAAACCTGAACCAAGCAAAACTTAAGTTTCCAACAAACTTCCATTTAATTCTATCCAAGCCCTAGCAAAATAAAATACATGTTTACTGCACCCAAGCCACAGCAAGCATTACTCACTTTGGAGTCTGTGGGTTCCCAGCCCCTGCCACACTTCTGCCAGGATCATTACACTTCTGATCAAAAGGGATTAATTTTATTTCTCTCTCCCACTCTGTAGGCACACAGTGAAGATGGGCATTACTGCAGCTCTTGAAATGCATGCATAAGAAATTAGTAAGTATTTTACAGTTCTACCTGTTTGTAGCTGCAAGCCATGCAATTGCACACAAGGTTTTTCACAATGACACCACTGGGCATTTCCAGCCAGCTAGTTAAAATGTGACAGAAATTACTGTTATAATTCAAAAGGCAGATAGTTGTTTCAGTGATAAAGACGATAAACTGAAAAATAGCCAGAAGTGTAGAGTTACTGCGTTTGATTATCAACAGATCCCAAATCACTCAAAACAAATCCCATAATCCTCACCCAGCTGCCCATAGTCATCTTACCCAAGGCTGCCAACAGCAAAATATTCTCTCTGCCAGTGTGATGGGGAAGGGATTGCAATGAAAATAGAGACATTCATGGATGTGTGTTCTCATTGCAGTTAACGTGGGACTTGGCTGCTGCAGGGGCGCAGGACAAGCTGGACTGCACTGACTCCAGAGGCAGTTCTCATGAAGAACTGAAGTGTCCGGGCACTCAGGTATGAAGCAGGAAAATCTCTGTTTAGATGGAGAGACCAGAGCCCAGAGTGTGTCAGCTCATCTGAGGCTGCTTAGATCACTTTGTTGTTGGAGAACTCTCCTGCAACTTTATAAGTGCTACCAGGGCTAAGAATGGTAAAATAAAATGGCCTCATATTAGTAACAAGACACCCAGTTTGAATCATGATGGCAATTCACCAGCAGACCTTCTTCCTGAGGGATGTGATGGATTATCTGCTGCTTGCTGTCTTTAAATCGAATCTTTCCATAGCACAAGCTACATTTCAAACAAAATAGCTAACTAAAGCATGCAGGAAAGAAGGAAGGGTTGGGAGGGCAACTGATTGATAGGGAGATTTCTTTTGAGCATGCCATTCAATTGCTTCATTTATATTTCATTAAGCGTGAAATTATGTTTATAATTATATTAGACAACTGTGTGAGAGATATTAGCTCATAAGCTCAGGCTGAATTAAAACAATTATTAATTAATTATTATTCTTGGCTTTCATTTTTAATGAAATTATGCTTCTGAATTTAAAGCACTAGTGAAGGCATGTTATTTTACTTTGGATAACTATCACTCTGATTGGCTCCTGAATAACTGAGAAAATAGGAGTAGGTGTTACTTAATGCAAACACCATCTCGTCCAAGAATGCACTTTGCATGATCTATAAGGAGAAAAGAGGCTCCAAAATGTACAAAAGGAAGAAAATCCTGTCTAGAGGTTGTGCTGCAGGGAAGTTGTGCAGCACTCAGGGACAGCAGGGGTGGCTATGCAGCACACAGGGAAGCCAGTGATGAGGAGGGCAAAAGCTTAGGAAGAGTTAAGGAAAAAAGAGACAAAAAAATTATTCAAAGCAGAAAATAATATGCAGCCATGGGAGGTGTGAGAAATTAGCACAGAGCACCACAGCCAGCATCACATGATAGCCTGAATGTGTGCTTGAGCCCCTGCAGCATTCCTCTGCTTAGGCATGGCTTCAGCCAGCACAGTCAGTCCTTGTGACATAGGACTAAAAGTGACATAAATGACTGGCCAGCAGCCAATACTTCTTGCTAGGATCTGGCCTCATCCACAAACCCCTGTGCAGTGGGAGTGATGGCTTGAAGCAAAATGGGACCTTCTCTGTAGTTTGTGCATATGCAAAAATCAGAGCTGAGGGTTTATTTCATCTATAATCTACCAGGGCTATGCCTCCCTATTATATTTTCTACTTCTTCCTATGATATTAATACATATGCAAAAATCACTTGGACTTCAAAAGGACATTCTCAGCTGGTGTAAGAGCTGAGGATATTTCCTGAGGTGTTGCAGATATGGGCAGCTTTCATAAAAACAGCTCAAATCTTTAAGGCAGTGCTGTGGCTCATGAAAAGTTCTTCAGTTCACCTTCGTGTATTTTTCTGTTTCTTTCCAGATCTCACAGTTATTCTGTCAGTGATTAAGGATCTCAAGCGCTTTAAAACAAAGTTTTCACCTTCAGATACTTTTCCAATCTGTGTGAAAAGAACAAGCTCCTTGCTAGCATTTATCTTACAATGTGCTCTCTGGCACTCCAACCAAAAATATTTTGAAACACGTTTCTTTCCAGCTCCGAGCTTTGTCAGTGCCAGGCAACCCACTTTTTAGTTTATTTTTAAAGTCTGGGGTTGTTTTGGCTTCTCCTTTTCTACTTTCTTTTCCTCTGTGTGCAGCCAACCCCATGGTTTCATTCACTGAAACAGCTGATTGCAAAATTAGACAAATACTTTGACTTTGCCCCTGGCTTTCATGGCTTCTGTACCTCTGAAGACTCCATTCACCTCTAATTACATGTCCATCGAAATCATGCAGAGAAAGAACAGTGTAAGTCGTTAGCCCCCTAAACGAGTGTGCAGCTGAGTAGCTAACAAAGGGATTAACACTTGACAGTAGAAGCACTGCATGCTGAAGGAGAGGGTCATCAGGTGACTTCCTATTACACAGAAATAATTGCCATCCAGTGCTGAGAGAAACTGATGTCCACAGGCTGTGTTTACTGCAGAGATGCATTTTCTCTCAACTCTTACCCTTCTGCTTTATCTGTCTTTACAGAAAACAAGGAGAGCCGTTCCTGGGCAGGGAATGGAGAGATGAGAGCTTGGGCAGAGGGAACCAATGTGGACTGGCTGGGGAGCATGAAAATGGGCTTTGGAAATGCAAGGTGATTTGAAGCCCAAGGACATTCAGTAAGAACCTTCCTATTGAACAGAGGGCTTCTGCCCCCTAAACAAAACCCATACATTTTAGGTTTTTTGAATACTGCTTTGCTTAATCTTCCATTGCCATAGTGTGGCATCTTTATACAAATAGTTGTTTGTATTGGGGTTGGATTTGGTTGTGGGTTTGGTTTTTCTTTTTAGATCTTCTTTAATAAAGAGGATATAAAGACATAATAGAAATATTTTCCTTCACCCCCTACCTAGCCTTTTGTTATTTAAAAGCACTTTATGATTCAGGACAGTATCCACATTACAGTGAGCATTTCATAGATTAAGATATCTCCAGACAGCTAACATTTTACCTTTTTTAGCATACAGTTCTTATTCATGGAGCTTAACAGATCTGTTAATTCTGTGGCCACTATGAAGAAGTACCTATGGAGCATTTAAAAGTGCAGTAACAATTACTAGATAGAATAGGAGGCTGAGTTAGAGGATAGTGGTCATCACTGTCATCATGTGCTGTTGATGGATTACTGGATTGTGCTTGCTGAAAACGTCCTACTGCATTAGCATAATGTGATATGGAATATCCTGTTATGCAATAAGAGTGATCTTGCAGTTTGGAAATATTCTGGGTAAGACTTCCTGCTGGAATAAATACTCATCACTCTGTTGAAGTCATTGCAGCTGTTATAATTCAAATGGGCTGAGATTTGTTCCCTTGTCTTGAAGCAGACAAGGACAAAATAATGCCTAATGTTAGGGGAGCATTAAGCACATGTTTGAAGTTGAGCAGAAAGGGGCTTTATGTTGAATTTCTGAGCAGGATGATTTTTTTCCTTTGTGTTCTGTCTTGAACTGCTTGCAATGTAAAACTTGCGTCCCAGTGCATGGCTGGGATTTCCAGGTGAGCAAGGTCTGGGGCTGGCATCTGTCTGATTGTTTTAACCTTACCAACAGTACATGGTGGAAAACTTTTTGTCCTATTGTGGAAAAAAGGTGCCATTCCACAGCAAGTTAGCACAGCCAAAGTAATTTAAATGGACTATACACAGATAAGTAAGTTTGGCATTTTTAGCCCAATTTAAAGACAGCAGATTTTGTACAGGCATTTTGTTATGTGATCTGAGATGAAATATAAAGATACATAACTGAGGCTGAGAAAAGACTCAGTAGCAGCGGGGTGTATTGTACAATGTGAAAAGGATGTTTATACCCAAACATCACATGCACAACTGAACATGAATTCACATTAGATCAACTTCAAACATATATTTAGTAGATAGATACATATTGAACAACTGCTTTTTAGGTAGTGACGTACTGATATCACAAAGGTTTTAATCTAATGAACTATCTGACTTCTAAAAACCCAAACATGGCTAATATTTTCAGCAGCTTGTTGAACAGCAACATCTGAGCACAGGCGAGGATACCTAATTGTCTGTTATTATTGTCTTTTTTGGTCTGATTTCTTTCTGTATCTTTAGTGGCATGTCAGTTTTGACACGACAAGCCCTGTAGAAATTTGTAATGAGTGAAGCTGAAGACATTAATCTACTTCTCTGCTACTGACATTGTAATACTTCATTACAGAGCATCGACAGAGCATATGAGCTGCGTGCTGGTGCCCAGGACCCAGGATCAATAAGCATGTACACATTCACCACATTCCCTGTGCACAAGGCCTCTGCCCAGCTGAACAAGTAGTTGTCACTCACATAGCAGCTCTTTCCACAGTGGAGGAATTCATGAGCAAAGGCTGGAGGAAAAGCTACGGAAGAAGTGACTATGGGAATAAGGGGAAATTTATGCATGAGTCAATGGGTAACCCACAGACCATCTTCCTTTCACTATGGAATACTTCTTTCTTGTCTGATGAAGTGACATCTGGTTAGTATATTTGCCTGATTATTTAGTTCTCTGCATCACTTGGAGCAATGTAATCTCTCTAATTGGTACACAGAATTTTTTCCAGTATGGTTAAAGTAGCAGATTCTGTGTTTAGCTTCTTTCATGGTTGTTTTTGCTATCAGCCCCAGAAATCATGCAAAAGAAATGATTTTGTCTAATTTTGTTTTTATGCATTCACAGAGTCACCATATTAGCAGCCTTTGAAATAATATTTAGGTCCACATACAAAGGAAATAAAATGCCCTAATTAATTTTCTGCATCACTGAGATGGAGCTTCAGTCAAATGGGGAAGGCAGACATTGCGGATGTCAGAGCAAGCCATCCTAGAACCAAGCCTCCGGCATTATTTGGGAGCAAAAGGTAAAATGAGACAGTAGATGAGATGCAAATGCTAATTATAAGAGGTTTTTGGATGAGATAAGCAAATCTCCTTGTAATCTTAAATAAATCTGAAGCTTTCATGCTGTGTTCTCACCCCATCCTGAGTCCATCATGCATTTGCATTTTATTTCTGAAAACATTCCTCACTGCATTTTGATGCTTCAGGCAATAGGAGATTAAAAGACTCTTCTTTAGTGTTAGTTGTTAAAATCCTAAAGGTTATTTCCTGAAGATAAGAGGGTGGTCTTTGCCTTCACAATAGCACAGATTTTCTTTAATATAAACAGACCTGTTTTTAAAGGCTAGCTAGTAATGATCTCCTCAAAGATGTCTGGGTCTTTCAGAGCTAGACCTACAAATCCATCACTTGGCTGGAAAAGCTCTTGATCAGGAACATGCTCCAAAAAGGAAGACTTGGAGACGGAGTAATAATGTGAGCCTGCTAGATGTAAAGTAAGCAGGGTGGTATCGTGGGTTTTCGTTGGGCTTTTTTTGTTGTGTTTTCCTTTTTTTGTTATAAGAGGCTGTATTAAAGCATGGATACTACTGATGGGATTAATATTTCTCAACAGATTGTATATACAGTGTTAGACTTTCTCATACTCTGACTACTTTAATTTTCTCAGGAGGCTTTATTCTGGTGTGTCTAAACAGTTTAGCAACATTCATTAGGCCTCCTGACACCCCAGCTATTGATTAAGAGAGCTTTCAATGCCCACTTCACAGAAATGGTCATCCTGAAATGCATTTAGTTGGTGAGAAATGGGCAGAAAGGGCTAAAGTATCCCAGGTTCCAGGACAGCAACAAACATCATAAAGAGGCTAAGAAACAATTTCCTTTGCATAAGGATAAAACTTAAAGTGGTGAATTTGAAGAGCTTGGAAATAGAAAGACATGACAATAGTCTTCTAATTCTCAAAAAGTCTGCAAAGAAGGTGTGTCTGAAATATTGTCCGAGTCAGCAAAGGGGCAAGAAAAGTGCCTGGCTCCACATGCAGCAAAGGTTTAAATTAGAGATTTGGAAAAGCTTCCTAATGAAGGATACTTAATTACTGAGTCTGGCTGCTGAGGAAAGCTGTAAAGTCTAAGTTATAAAGGACCAATTAGAGTAACACCTGTCTGGAATGGGCACAGCAGGATTCTGCTTCCATGCAGTGAAAATGGACTTAAAGTCTCTATCATGCCGTGGTGCTATTTTGTATCCCCCCCAAACCCACTCTTGTCCTAAGTTTTCATTTTTGCTAGACTCATATATCCCTAGACCGTATGCAAGTCGTCTAAGCTCAGCTGTGAGTGCTTTCAGTCTGTCTCACTTCCACAGCACTAGCCTGTCTGGGAAAAAAAACCACTGTAAACCTAAATTATGTGAGATCAAAGTCATCTCATGAGGAAGTCATGCAGATTAAAATTAATTTCATTATTCTGAGTAGAGCAGCCAGTGTTCCCTAGGGAAAAATCTGTCTTCTTGACTCTTGAGCTGGTACCCTAGCTGACCTAGGAATGTTGGAGAGAAGGTATTTCCCTACAGTCCTCAGTGAGGTATGCAAACATTTTCCTGGTTTCCACAGACACTGTGAACGCGTTAACTTTGAATGGTTCCCTGAACTGACCAATTCGGTTTCCTGGTGCATTGTATTAGATGTGTGGATATGCATTCACAACTCTGGATTCCCCTCTGAAAGCCAGGATCCTTCATGCTGAAGTCAGTGCTGCTTCTTAGGGTTCTAAATCCCTGAATTCAGTCTTAGTCATGAGTTGCAAGAATGCTATCCAGCATTGTAAGTAAGTCAGCAGCATCCCCCAAATAAGATGATAAAGCAGCTGTGTTGGCTCTAGAGCAGCTTAACTTTAAGCTTCTGAGTATGATGAATTATTGTTTAAGGAGATGTATTCATAATTCTGTTCCTTCCAAGCAGGTGGTTGATATTTTGAGAGCCCTGCTGTATCAGCACTATGTATATTTGGCACAGAAACTGCATGAATATTATAAATTCTATATTTAATTGGGTCTCATAAAGAAATCCTCTAAATCATAGTCATCCCATCAAACAAAACAGGAAATTGACATGGTGAGGTATTCCATAACATTACCTCTTTTTTCCCCTAAAGGTTAAACAAAACTTTGTTATTTCCTTAGAAGAAAAGAAAGATGAGAGAGTCAAGTATCTTTGATGTAGTCCTATTTATCTGAAAGTAACATAAAATCCTAATTGTTAGCACAGAAATCAAGTAATGTGAGAAAGTACTTTTATATACAACACCAAGCCTCCCTGAGCCAGCACTCAGCCAAAAAAAGCTCTCTGTTTAGGCTCTCAGCGAGACCACAATGCCACTATTCATTCAGGTTGCATCCTATCTTTCCAGCTTGTTTCTATCTTCCTTGAAATATTTCTGTATCTCTGTCTCATATATTTTGGGCATAAAATATCACAGTATCATTTGCTATACATTAGGTGGTAATACTACTTCACTGACATTTGTGAATGTTAGGTGGCATTGTATGGTGGGGGGTGAGAGTTGCTGTTGTTTCAACATACTGGGGCTGCAAAAATCCTAATGTGTTCTTCTTTTCCTGAATGAGAGTTCTTTCCATAGAACTACGAGGCTATGATAAATGGACTAAGTCATAATAAATAGTAGAGAGACAGTTTAAACGTGTGTGAGTGAGCCTTACCTAATAAATAAGGGTAAAATACACATACCAATGCAAGTAAACGGAGATTTATATTTAGTTTCCTTAAGTGGTGTTGAATCTGTACATGACTGAAAGTGCTTTCATTGTTAATGTATTGAGTTCTCCATACCATTTGGTTCATGTGAAGTACTATTTGCGCCTATTTTATCTATAGTACATCTATTACATCTAATCAAACCAGAGGCACGAGATTTGTACTAAAGGAATGCAGTTCCTTATTCAGCTGTATCTGGAAAACTGAATAAAGGGAGTGGGGGTTGATTTTGGCACCTGACCTGCTTTGGCATCTTTTGCCTGCAAAGAGTTTGTCATGGAAGACAATAGCTTGCTACAAGGAGCAAGAGAGGCCAGTGAGCCTGCAGGAACACCCACTGAAACTTGTGCATGACTGCATTTTCCTGACAGGCTGCTTCAAGTGCTCTCTAGAGTTATTTGATCTGGTCCTCCAAAACTTGTTCACACAGCTTCTCTTTACTGCTCTTACTGTGGAATTCATCACAGGCTATTTTATCTGGGTGAGAGCTGAGCATACACATGGTTTCGAGTCCATGCAGTGCATCTACAAATAGTAAGACTGCTATACAAGGTCCCTGGCCTTGCTTATCAGAATGGAACGGCTGGGACTGCCTTTCGTGATAGGCCAAGGTGATCCTGAAGCATTGCACCCCAGGTAATTGTGAGTCCTAGTATGCAATAGGCAATCTGTGCACTTTCTTGTCATGTCAGGGAAAGGTCCTATTTGAGATTGTTTGCAAATCTGTGTTGAAAAGCCTCTTTGATAGGAGTGGATTGTCCAGGTATGGCAAGAATGGTACTCATGATAACATTTGAACATGACAACCTTGTTGCACAGTACAATAGCAATGTTAAAGAAAAGCCACTCACATTAGCAGCTCTCATGCTGAGTGTAAGGGAAACGACAGAGCAAAGGGTGATCTTCACTCCATCTGCCCTGGTTTTCATCCTCTAACACAAATGAAAGCTAGTGACAAGTTGCAGTTGTGTCTTTCAGAGATGTCTATTTTGATCTTGTTCAGCGGCAATGTGTACCCCAAATCCATAAATCTGCAGAAATTTTAGGAAGAAAACATTACAGGGGATCAAAAGGAAGCTGGCAAGAGGACAAGCAGGGGAAATGATGCCTGCTGCTGGTTTCCAGTTTGCTTAGGGAAGAGGGAAATGGGCAGCACAGTCTGAGAAATGAATACAGTTGCACTAAGTAATATATGTGGTTTACTGTTTTTTTTCCCTCTTATCTAAAATGATTCAAGACAAAAATTGGCCAGCAGCTCACTGTGGGGGTTCAGGAGTGGTGTTTCATGCACCAAAGGGCTCACTGCAAGTATGAATAACTATAAAATTAAGTAATAGTGACTAAGATCCTTTGGGCAGGCAGGATTTAATGCACATGGGTGAAGGAGACCTGAAATATATTGGAAAGACCATGCTCAAATGGAATTTTCACATTTTTCCATTATACAGAAAAAAATACGCTGGCCGCCAGAAAACAGACTGAGCTTTACTGCAATAGAAGTCAAGAAGTAACTCTGCTGAAGTCATTGGTATAAGCTAATTAGGTGTGAATATACTTTAATACGCTAACTAATACCTGCACATGGTTTCCTGTTGATTTCAGGGGGACTATTTGTACAGGAAATTACTGCTGTGTGGGAGTAAGTCTATGAGCATCCAGGTTTCTGCTAAAATAAGATTACACATCCATTAGACTATCCAGGAACTACAACATTGCAACATACTGTATTACCATGCACTGAAGATAGGTCCTTGGGAAATTATTCAATAGATATATGGAGGAGACCAATTTCCTCAGCAACAGCAAATCTCTCGGACGCTGCAGTTTAGGTGACAATTCAGCTCTTGGAGTAGAATCCATTTAACTTTGGATTTGGAAAGGACAATGATGGAAGTTAGGGAGCAGCAGATGTATGGGTCACTGGATTATGATGTGGAGGATATTTTGCAAATAACCTGTCCTCTGAAACTGCTGACTATAAGATGCTTTAGGAATATTCACATTTTGCCACAAGTACAGAAAGCTTATCTCATCAGACGACATAACAATACATTTCACTTGCATAAATGAAACATTTATGTTCTCATTACAATTATGAGAACACCTTTCAGTTATTATGCTACCTGGCATCAAGGTGAAGTGTATTGATGCAGGCCTATGATTTGTTTACAAACTGTATTTATATCATGACTCTTAGTGAGAGCCTTTTTGGGGAAAAAACAGACGATATGAAATACTCTTAGGCATTAGTCCTGGGTTCAGCAGCAGTAGTCATTTCCCTCCTTATTAGTAGGTGGTGCAGCGCTGTGGTTTTGACTTTCAGCCTGGGAACAGCGCTGATAACACCGATGGTTTTAGTTGTTGATAAGTAATGTTTACTCTGACCAAGGACTTTCTGCGTCTCATGCTCTGCCAGGGAGGAGGGGAATCCAAGAAGAAGCAGAGACAGGACACCTGATCCAAACTAACCAAAGAGGTATTCCATGCCACAGCACATCATGCCCACTATATAAACAAGGGGTAGTAACCCAGAGGGGCTAGATATCAGGGCTGGGTATCAGTTGGCTGGTGGTGAGTGTATTCTCCTCCCTTGTCATTTCACTTACCATTATCATTATTGGTGCTAGCAGCAGTGGTTTGTGTTATACCTTAGTTACTGGATGGTTCTTATCTCAACCTGTGGGAGTTACATTCTTTCGATTCTCCTCCCCATCCCTTTGGGAGAAAGTGAAGAAGAAGGTGGGGAGTGAGCAAGCAGCTGCATGGTTCTGGGTTGCTGGCTGGGCTTAAACCATGGTAGCATTAAACAAATGGCTTCATTAAAAAAATGCTTTGAAGTAAAATGTTCAAAATGTCTTAAGAACAAGGAAAAACAAGCACTTGGGTCAGTGAACTGCTCTGAAGCAAACTATTTCATATTGCTGTCATAATAGGAGCTCAAGCAAGGGGCAATCTCCCTTAAGAAAAACAAAATGAGAAATCATGGACGGCCACTCCTACTCCAAAGAGTTTCATGTGGTTTATGCATGGGAAACTGAGAGAGGCTGAGTTTTTCCCCTGTGAATCACAGAGCCCTGGCTGGCATTGGGAACAGATTCAAGATTTCCACATTCTCTATTCAGTCCTGCCATTCTTTCTCCAAAATCTAGGTCCAACCCTGGATCTGTAACTATGCTAAAGTGTCCAAACTCCTGCTTTGGTAACTTTTCCAGTGCTATAAAGCATTTACTCCTGACCTGTTCTCTTACCTTCAAAGAGGCAAACCAACAGTATGCCCTGGGACACCATCTTCTCAATTCTCTTTCCACCCTTGCTCTTCTTGCAGCCAATTTTATTGGTATTGGATAGAAAGAATTGTCTATAAGCAGGGACAATGCTGTTGTAGGTGAATTTAAAGAAGGAAAAAAATAAGTTTCACAGCTGGAAGTACTGCTGAGAAACTGGAGATCTGTTACTACTTAGGCAGAAGACCTCACACCAATGTCCTTTTAAAATACTGCAAAATGCACGCTGCTCTGCAGTTCCAACAGCAAGTGGGCAGCCATTGAGAACACGACTAAATGCTGCCTGCCTCTTCTCAAAGGGTGATTTGTTTCCACTAATGCAGAAAATGAGTACTGTTCTATTTTGTTTCTGTTTCTTTTCATGTATGCAGCTATCAATGGACTATCTGGGCTCTTTCACATCTCAGAAATGGTTTCGTCCTGGTATCATTCTCTGTAGCAATGAATTTTAAAATCATGATTTCATTTGTTGCAGCATTTATGGTATTCAGTTGTCCTTTTTTTCTGAGGTTTAGAGAGTTGTTTTATTTCCTCAAACTCAGTGACAAAATCTACTCAAAGCCAGAGCTCTTCCTTGTGTTCTAAATACATACATGAAAAATACCAGCTAATTAGTGCTAAATTCAAATGCGAAAGGAATAGCCATTATTTTTAGGTTATATGTATACACCACTTACTTCCTTTACTGTTTCTGAAGAAAGATCAGCCACTGCGTGCTGTTAGTACCACGGAGAATACTAAAAAAAGCTGTCACAAAATGATATCTTGATAAAACAAGACGACCTTTAAAATTGAAGCTGTGGAAGCAAACCAGCTAAAAAATGGTTCGAAATCCACACAAAAAGCTCTGCAACGAAAGGAAAATTGATTACTCTCATATTCTTAATTATGTTAAAAGATTGATACAATTAAAGTAGGCATTTTAAAACAGAGGGACTCCAGAATGCACTGGCTACGCTATTCATTTCTGACTGAACTTTTGTTTTTTCCATATCTGAAACAATGCTGGAGGTTTTGGATTTACACACGCTTTTGATTTTCCCACACATACTCTAGAGCCAGGATGAAAATTTTCACAGCAGTAATTGATTACTAACGGGTCACTTTAAACCATGTGGTCTTCCTTCCTTGTAATTACAGAGTGGCTCTATGTCCTTATCCATTTAAAAGGTTTCTAGCAGCAGACAACAGCTGGGGGTCATTCTTATTACTCCTGAGTAATCTTGTTTGGTACAAAATATCAGCATTTGCAAAGGAGCCATCCGCTATTTCAAGGTTTCTGTGCACAGAAGCTCTCATGCAGAAAAGAAAAATCATTAAAAAATCATGACAATCCCAAAATGTGTGCTAGCATCAATTGTATTTTCTTCTCTCCACATTCTAGTCTTGATTTTGCAATTACATACAAGTGGACATAAAGAGTTTGAGGCAGGGTCAGATTTTAGTTATATTTTTGCATAATGCCTTAGAAAATGAATTCCTAATCCCTGATTCTGGCTGGGTAGGTCATCTGCCCTAAATATAACAAATAATATGAAAATTCAGGCTTTGCTGCTGTTGAAAAGAAATGAGGTAGTGTGAGGATGAGCAGAGTTGAGGGGAGAGGGTGTGACCTTTTCAGTAATCCCAGTTTGGATCTATAGATTAGCTCTATTCTTTTTTAATATATTACCACCAAAAAAAAACCCTAAAATGAGTCAAAAAATTCACAGCATCAGAATTACAGGGTTCAAATTTGAATTAGGTAGTGGAAACAACTCAGTGGGAGGGGGTCTATTATTAATTGAATCTAAATCCTGCTCGCAGCTACACATCTTGTGAAACATCCAGCTATGTTTTAAATGTTAGTCACATTCAGGATGGCTTTCCTGGCTCATGTGGATTGGAAAGGCAGGTGGAGGGTAATGAAGTGACTGAAATGGGAAGTTAAGACCCTCATCTGTTGACAACTGCAGGATTCCTATGGCCAAGGAGCTGAAGCAGGAAAATCTTGCCCAGCGTGTGACATGGCAGGGAACAAATAAGGTTTCTTGTGCACTCCACATTAGTTACTTTTGAAAGAACTGGGACTGAATCACAAGTAAGTAGCTGATCAAAATATCCATTATATACTACCTTCATACTCACTAATATTGGCATAAAGATTTTCCTGGGAAAAAAAATTAATATTGATGTCCTTCAGTTGAGCTGTTAGTGAACTGAAATCACCATACACTTTCTGGATTCAGGGAACTCCTTGGATGAAATCCTACTGCTTGCTTTCTTTTTCCTGGAAGGTTTTCTCCCCCTTTTCCTCCCTCTGAGCCCCATGGTACACCTTGAACTCCTGCTTAGCCAAATGAAACTCACCAATGGGATTGCAAAAGGGAGAAAGAAAGACTGTTTATCTGAAAAACTACCTAAGAAAAGAGTAGGAAAATTCTGTTTTCTCCATTCTAGGGCAATAAGGAGAGGAAAAGAGGGTTCCAACGCCCCAAAACTGAACAAAAAATTCATTTTTACCTCGACTGGATGTCTCTTTTCCTGCTGGGCTTTCTGTTTCTCAGGGCCACATGCAAAATCATTTCCTTACCTGTCCCAGGAGACTGAAGGCTAGAGCAAACTTCCCATGCAAAGGGGGTCTGAACGTGGTGCTTTTTCCTACTAAAAGGAGATTTGAGATTTCCAGCCCCCAAAACTTGGTGGTTCCCACAGTCCTTTGAATGTGGGACAGTTAGCAGGCAACCAAAATTTAAACTTCTTTGAAAGGCCAAAATTTCCACCTTGAATTTCTTTGCCCCTGTTCTATCTATATCTGTGTTTAATAGCAAAGGGAAAACAAAGAGAGGGAGTTACTTGAAGAATTTGAATTGGGATGTTTTTACTGTCTTCAGCTTAATCCATTTAAGGACATCAATATTAAAACAGATAAAAATCTCTGATGAATACACAGGGTTTCCAAAGCAAATGCCGCATACACAGTTCAAGACTTCTACTCAGGGTCTGATTCTGAGAAGTATGGCAAGCACCCAGTATCCCTTTCCAATACAAGTTTAAAGTGAAGGAGTCTAATATGCAACTCTGAGATTATAAAATTCACTCTTTGATGTTAAAACTCTGATTAACTCTTCCTGTCTGGGGATGAACAGTTTGTGTTGTCTTTTACTAAAAATAAGTAATGTTAAAGAAGTATTTGTTATTAACATCATCGCCAGGGAGCTCTGGAAATACTGAAGAATACATGGTCCTTGCCAAGGACACTATTTTGAATTAATAAATTAGGAATAGGTCTTCACAGGAATTTACTGACAGTCTCACAGAAACACCCTCCAACTTCTTGGATAACCACAACCCACATAACTAACCTATTTTTCTTAATCTCAGAGCTGATTGTGTATGGCACACAAATCATCCCTGAAACTAGACTGGTACATACTCAAGTTAATGTATTTTTTGATCTACGTACCTTAGTGCTTCATACAGCTCAATCTCCTTTATAAAACTAACATTAATTTATCTGAAGTAACAGCTTCTTCTCTTTTGCCAGCGCTACCTGTTCGCTATGTTATGCTATCAAATTTACTGACTGGAGTGCAGTCCCTTGGCCTTACATCGTGGAAGAAAATAAATGGTTGCCTTTGCATAAAGAAGGAAAGGAAATGTCCTGCTTGAGGGTTATTTATTCCTTGTTGAATAAAGTGTCCACTTTAAAGGTGTATTTACAAGTGCAGACTGTGCTTTCAGAGGGTTGTAGGATTTAGTCTGCCATGAATACAGGAAAAGGCAATAATTGTTTGCAACCTGGCAGCACCAATTCAGTTGAAACTTTTAAATAGAAGGAAACTGCATTTAGAAATGGCCCACCCAAAGTAAAGCCTTTGCTGTGTGTCTGTCCTTCCTTCAGCACTTTGGAGCTTAGTTCAAAGGCAGCACTGCTGTTCCTAGGACAGCCCAAGTCAAGTAGATTAGCGAGCAATGCAGGTGGATTTTAAGCTCTGAACATCCTTTCTATTCATTTTATTATTTCTATTTCATTATGAACTTGTAAATTATATAAAAAATATAAATAAATACACTGTTCCTACAAAGCAGGGCATGTCTTCCCATCTCTGCCTGTCTGAACACACAGCCTGTGTGCTGTAGCTCTCTGTGTGTTCAGACAATTAGTGCTGTGCTTTGTTTCCGTGTTTGGACCGTATGGCTAAATCTCACCCCATATGTTACAACAATGCTATTGAAGGTGATTTGGAAAGGCACCCTAATTAAACGGCACAGTTGGCTAGCTAGGAAATTCACCAGTGTGACTTAATATCACAGTATGAGTCAATTTGGAGAGGTGGTTTTATCCGGGGGAGCTCAAGGCATGTTTGATTTTGATTGCTGAATTAAGGATGCAAAATGGAGAACCTATAAACATAGGACCATGTTTAAAAAAAACCCTACCTGTGGGATTTAAGCTTTGGTTTTGTGTGCAGACCATCCATAGATATGTTCTAGAGGAAGACATTCTATGTCTGCATATAATTACCTATGGCAACTCTGAAAAGATCACTGATCTGTATTCAAATTCACACCAACTTGCATTGCATAAATGGAAAATACAAAAGAACAGCTTCCAGTGCAATTTGCTGCTGAATGTACTTCAGATATCACATAAACTGGCTGAAATGAGGCCAGAAGTTTGCAGAAGATTTGTACCTTTGATGTTCTGGTTCAACAAGGGTGGCAGAATAATCCAGGGAAATGCTGCACTGCAGTACCTCTTCACTGCTGAGGACCTATAAAAAAGGAACAAATGTAAACTAGGACCCTAACTACACTACTGTGTCTCTTGGAATTGCAACAATTAGCCCAGTCCAGGTCACAAATGAAAGCTGTAAGCCATCTTCTGCAAGATAATGGGTCATCAGGTCAAGTCCAATAAGCATTAATGCACAGTAATTTTCTACTGCCCCAAATTCAAACTGATAGCACAGCTGACTCTCAACTGTAATTCAGAGGAATAGAGAAAGCACAACATTCCCCACTTGCAAGGACAAGAAAGAAAACAAACTGTGCAAAAATACAGGGGGCACTGACTTTGCAAAAATATGGTTGTTCCAGTCAGCCTCTTTTGACTTGATCTTTGCCCTCATCTTCAGTAGGAGTGTTTAGGATCAGGGCCCACTGGTACTCACAGATATTGATGCTTAGCCTGGTTTTGGAACTATCTCTTACTGCAGTTACTGAGTAATACCTTAGTTCTATTAAACGCTTTAATTCTTTTAAAGGAAAAAGAAAAGCACAATAGGGACTATTACAGAAGTATCCTGGGGTGACATTTTATCCTCCTTCTGTCATGATCCAAGAGGCAAAAGAACCAGAAAAGAGAGAAATGAGCCATAAAAAAATGAGCACAAGATGACACTTGGATCATTGCATGTCAGAAATGCCATACAGGACCAGAACATTGTCTTCAGTCAGCAATGACATCGGTTTGTCAGTGTCTTCACCATTGTTTAACTGGACATAGCACTGCTCAATTATCACCTGTCCATCCCATCCTAAAAATATAGTTAAACTGTCATCAAATTATTGGATTTTTTGACTATTTTATATGCTGGCCACCCTGTCGCTGTCATCCCCTGCATCACTCCTGTGCCCCGTGGGATACAAGCATTTCAGGTAAGCTGCAATGTGAGACGCATTGAACCCCAGGGACTGGATAACTGAGGGAGTTTTGCTAATAGCTACAATAAACATACAAAGAAATTGTGAAAAAGAAGATTTAACCAGCATCTGCTAATATAAGGGTTTTTTCATCCCCATAACCTGCTTTGATATTCCCTTTACCAAAACCCTCTTATATGTTGCAAAAGATGTGCCCAGCATTTTACCTCAACTTTCTAGATTCCAGCTGGGATCAGACACTGAGGTTCTCAGTACACCAGCTACATACGAAAACTTACCAGTCCCTGGAAAAACCAAACCAAACCAAAAACATCCCCCTCCCAAGAAACAGCCTGGATAAGTTCCTTCTTTGCATTTTCTCCATTGCAACCTTTATTAACCTGCAACAAGAGATAAATTACATATATATTTTACAGTGATCTTGGTATCCAACACTCATTTGCTTGCAAAAGTACTAATGAGTTGAGGGGAACCCACCAAGAGGTGTCAGACTCATGGAGAAAAGGTGGAATTAGAGAGTAGGTGGAAGAAAAAAGCTCCTTTTTGAAGCTTGTAGCAGCTCCACAGAGGAGAGACTGATGAGTGGCTATTTACATTATTCTGGGGGAACTCCCTTGAGATTTTGGTTGTACACAACCAGTTTAAAGGGCGGCAGTTTGCTCCACTCTGTTTCTTTCCCCTTCTCACAAGTTCCTAAGGAAGGCACCAACTTCAGCTGACTCCTGCTGCTTTGTGCACCAGGAGTCAAGCCCCACAGCAGTTTGTCACAAACCCCAAAACACCCACAGACATCTGCAGAAAAGACACTTGTTCCAGCCAGCCAGAGGTGGATAGTGTGGATAATCTTGCCAGAAGCAAAACTCTTGCTAATTCTCCTATTTCACTCCACACATTATTAAACATAAAATATCAACACAGCACAAAGCTCATAAAAGAACAACAACACAGAGATATTTCTAAGATGCTGGGGGGGGAAAAGGGCTTTAGGTTCACTTAAATAATTACTCAGATCCTGAAGGAGAAGCAGTATGTACTTCTGTGTCTCTACATCTATCATTTCTATCTCCCGTGCCCTTGGTGAGCTATCTAAGCAAGGTAGCAGAAGGTTCATCTGAAAGGCATGGAAGTTTTGCATCTAAATTTCCCTTCAATATGAATTTGTGAGGGCTGAGTCTTTGAACAACCCAGTCACCTGGGTTTATTTATTTATTTATTTAAATCTGATTTCTTGCTTGCTTCTTTATGTTCTGTGCAACAGCTGGCAGTACTACTGCCAGATGCCATCAAAGTCTACAGAGTATTAAACAGGCCAGCCTTAACCCTGGGCTTGAAAGAGTGATGATGTCTCAGCAGCCAGAGGACACAGAGGAAATAAGTGAGACAGAAGGAGCTTGTCAAAGAGTTACAACTTCAAAAACTAACAAAATAACAGACCTGAGATTCAAAACATAGCTTAGTAGCTCCAACACCAAGCAGATGCACACACCTACTTTTTTGTAGTTCGTGTTCTTTCATGGCAATTAATTTTCTTAAGCAATTCTTGGACTTTTCAAAAGACTTAGCTGACAATATCCGAATTGTGTAGGCAAAGAAAAGAAATGGGTTTAGACGAAGGTTTGTTATTTTGATGAAGAATCCAGTGTTGCAGGTAGCCATGTCTAAGCTGGATACCTCTCCCCTCTGCCGAGGATAAAGCATGCTTTTCTAGGACAGTAACATCCACATTAACATCCCAGGTTACACCCTCAAGTACACCCTCTCTTAACCAAATCAATGGAATTGCAGCCTTTAGCACAAACTCAGAGCAAGGCTCAACCAACACCATAACTATGCATCCTAATGTCTTCTCTGCTCCATAAGAAACTGGTACAGTGACACCTATCAGCAGCAGTAATATGGTCTATCAATATGATTTTCCAGTAGCTGATTCACAGTGATTTGCACTCCAGAGGTTTCTGGAAGTTTCCACAGGGTCCTTGTGGAGATACCCATTTTGATTCCTTCTCTGAGATGCCTCTCATGGTGCACTATTAAAGCTAAGTGGCTTGAAGTTAGCAGAGGATTTCCAGGATATTGGCTATTCACTAAGAGTTAAAGCTGAGGCCGTGGCTGCTGAGAAGCCAACTGGAATAGGTAATGGTAAGGAGCTGAAGCCAAAGCAATGCAAGCCAACAGGATCACTGGAAGCCAGCAAGAGCTGTCTCTGAGGACTGCCCCACTGCACATACATTTGGAGCACAAAAAGGGAAAGGAGTAGCTCAAGGGACATGAATCAGCCTAGCTGAGCAACTCTGGGAACTTAAACATTGCTGCACAGCCAGAACTTTGCCTTATCATATCCAAAGCTTATTAAAGCAAAATACTGCAAAATGGCAGAGAAACAAAGTCTGATCCAAATCAATATTTGGAAGACACTGTTGACAAAGAGCATAATATATATGCCGAGAATCCTCTTAGGAACAGACTAATTTGGTGCAAACATTCCTGAATAAGAGATAGATACATTCATAAAAATGTCTTGTCACTGGGTTTCAGAGCAGCATGAGAACTCCTTACTGAACCAGTTTCCAGGCAACTCAATCCTCCCCTTTCTCTCCTTCGCCCCCTATGACCAGTTAGGAGCAGCCACCCTTCCTGAGTCTCTCCACAGGGGTTAATTCATTCATCTGTTTTATGCAGACACTGGGATTGCCCTGAGAGTTTCCAAGGTAGACAGAGAAAGTGGAAACAAAAAGCAGCTCCCTGCACGATTTGTGAAACACACAAAATACAATAGCAATAAAAATAGTAATAAGTTCATTACAATAGAAATGGTCTCATTAGCAGTGCAAACGCCAGTCATAGACGTGGCCAGGTTCCTGATGGTGCAGGGGATCTTTTAAACACTGTCCTTCTCTGCTCCAGCAATATAAATCCAAATTAAAAACATATAAATCCTCAAACCCTTGGGCTGCTGTCCATCCCTTTGCTCCCCCAAAAGGTGACTGTGAAACAGAATATGGGGTTCTGATCCTCAGTGAGGTAGTGATACACAGGGAAGCGTGTTACGAGCAGAGGTCCTTGCTGTTCAGGCTTTCACTGCCACAAGAGGAGGGGAAAGAGAACTCCATTTGCTGGCAGGAGATGTCTGGAGCAATGCAGTGGGAAAATGTATTTGTGAATACTTTAGGTGGGAGAAAACCAGTTTTCATCAAAATGCTAGTAATGAATTCAGGGCATTTGCAGATGGATGGTAGGAATGGGAATTAGAAAACAGCATCAGAGGTGTTAGGCCAGTGAGTGCAGCATACAGATTGTGCATGTTCTGTTGCTTGGCACATACCTCTCAGGAAGATGCAATGAAGGATGATGGTATTTGCCTGTGGCTGGAGCATGGCTTCATCTCTTCACCAGAGCCACGTGGTGTGGTTTCTTTGCTTGCAAAGTTACAGGCAGAAGCATCGCTATAGCTGAGAACACGCTGGTCAATGGTCATGCTGGGGGAGAAAGAGCAGCCAGCAAATGGGACAAGACTGGGACAAGCATGGGAATGGCATTACTCTGCGGGCCTGGGAAACACCTGCAAAGGAAACTCGGTCACTCTGATCCTGGTTACTCCTAGATTCCGTATTGTGGAAGGACAGAGTGCCCAAGCTTGGAAAACAGGCATATTAATTAAAAGAAAACATTCATTTCACTCTTTACATATTTAATGTCTACATATGCACTACTTGAAAGAGAGGGCTGAGCAACCTGTTATCAGTGCATTTACCTGTGTACATAAGATGATCTTCTTACCTTAATTTTATAGATCAGAAGTTGTACTGCAGGAAATGCAGAGCTCAATCACAACAGGGTTTAGTGGGCTTTTGGCTGGAGGTCCCACAAGTAGTGCAACACCTTTCTCTAGGCAGCAATGGAGCTGAGGTGTAATCTTTTCTGCTGGCTAGCATCCATAAATCTGAGTCTACACAGCCTGTCCTGGGTCACACTTTTTCCTTATTCCACATGTATACGCCTTGGGGATCAGATGTCACAGGACCAGGGTTTTAGGGGACCTGAACTATAGTCCCTCCACACACAAACCTCTCCATGACTTTTCTATGGCCATAAAAAAGCCCACAGCAGAGCAGGGAGTTGAGCCCCTGCGGGTCAGACTGTGCTCTAATTGCCAACCAGTACCCCCTGTATGCAAAATCCTTTATTCACTTCTAATCTAGGCTACCAGAAATGTACAACTCCATCAAGATCTGCAAGGTAATAATGAGATACACTCTTCAAAAATGTACTTAAGGTTGAAAGTGATTAAAGATGCCTCAGCCTGCAATTACCTATTACTCACTGGTGTTCTAAACGGTTCATTTTTCACATCATTCCAGGAAGCTGTAACTTCTTAAAGCAATGTTTCTGGTAATTATGGGAAAGCAGGAACAGCAACCACTGAGCATTATCTAATGCTGCAGCAGAGCCAGAAACGCTGCCTTCTGCAGAGGATATAAGTGCAAGGACGTGGCACAGAGAGGCAGCTCCTGGTGTGACTGCTCAGCATCTCATTGCTGAGGACTGCTGACCACTTGTGAGGAGTTCAGTTCATTTGAGAGAAACACTGGTCTTGAGAAGGGTTAACCCTGCTTGGTCTGTGTTTCTAAGACCAGGTTTGGCCTCAGGACAAGGGAGCTCCTGGTGCAGGTCAGTAATGTGGCACTTCCTCTTGCTGGGTTAAAGTCCTGCTTCTCTGAAGCTGATCTAGGAAAAAGACTTTTAGGAATGTATTTTTAGGCTTTCTACTTTTTGACATGCAGCTAAAGTAGCTACAGCAGACACATCTGATCCCTAAACCTCAGCAATCTGCCTTCACCTTCATGGCTTTCAGTCTGTTACAGTTTTATTTACCAGTTTTACCTTGCAAATAAAGTTAAATGAGACCTAGTTTTCTTGTTGCAAAAAATAGTGCCACTTCGGCACTACACTGATAAATACATGGGAGAGCTACCACATTGCTTACATAAAAATAGAAATATAAATAAATAAATGAAAAAACATCCCAGGCACTTGAGAGAACCACTCCATGCCAGACACTGTAATTGCAGAACCAAACAGGGGCTGTCCTGGCTGCCTCCACACATAACCCAAGGCAGGGAATGAGCCCTACTGTATCAAGCTCAACAGTTTGTCACAGGGGAGAACATAACTTTTAAGGATATGGGCTCCTCTATCTGGATGCTGCCCTGCTTTAGACACATACCTGCAATACGCAGAGAGCATTAGTTGTACACGTGCTGTAGAGAACAGACAGGCATTTTAAATCTTGCTTCTGATTTTGCTGCTCAGCTTGTCACTGGGACATCACCACCCACCTTCGCTCAGGTGGCTGTCACCTCTGACACAGCATCACAGGGACATACATCCTGAAAGGAGAGAGGAGAGAAAGGAGCAGTGCTAGCAGACCAATGGTGGGTTGGTGACCCAGGGCTTCTGACTCTGCTTGTTGGGCCTGGGTGCATCTGGGCTGTGACATGTTTCTGCATTTCCAACGCAGGCAACCCTCTGCTTCATTAAGACAGTCTTCATACACAGCCATGTGGTGCCTCTCACTGCTATGGAGTTGAAAGCATAGAAAGAAATTAATTATTTATTGCTGGTTCTGCTACACGTTTTGACTTGGAAAGCAAAAAATGTGCAGACACGTTCCCATTGCATGTCCAGGCTCAGCACTGAGCTCCAACCTGCTCCTCCCATGATATTTTCTCACTCATTCATTTTTCCTCCGTTATACTTTTCAGAAACTATGGGATTAAGTGTGCTTCCAGGACAGCCTATATTGCCTTACATGTGCCTGTGGCTTGGAAAGTGGCATGATGCTTTGGTTTAGTTTGGAAGAGGATACTGGTTTAAACAAATGTTATTCCATCCTGAAAGAGGGGGCAATGATCACAGCTGCTGACTTCGTGATTTTTTTTTCCTCAATAAAATAACAGCAATAGTTTGTTGCTGTTTGGAACTGTTTGGAAGGTACTGGGCACACCCAACACTGTATGAACATTCAATGACTCTATTACTAATAACCACCCCTGGCTACTAATGACAGGAACTTATCTCAATAATAGTGATATGTTTTCTTAAGATGACTTCAGCCCCTATAATCTGAAGAATTTATCTCAATAATGAGGGGAAAGATATTAGAAGTAGAAATAGAAAAAAGAAAGATGTGCAGCAAGGATCACAGAACCGTATGTATTCTGTGATAACTGCGGTGAACAAATAAACGTACCTTCTTGCTCAGGTATGCGTCTGGAAAAATACAAACATAAACCAAACCTTAACTTACACATGATGTATTTATGTGAGTTAAAAAACTGGGAAGGTGAGGAGATTTGGCTTTGCAGTCAGTAACTGTGAGCTGCCAGGCTGGTGGAGGGGGAGGCTGCAACCCTCTGAACAGCACTGGGCCTACATGGCTGTAAGTTTGGGCAAGTGGCAGGTTTTCAGTTCAAAAGCAGCATCCCACCACCAGCTAGATTGTGTGCTACAGAGACACCCAAACTTGCAGAAACTGAGTTACTGGTGAGGAGTTAGTGATGGCTGGAGCTGCTCCACATCTCAAGTGTAACTAAAACTCCAATGGGACCAGCAGGGCCTCTGGCAGCAGGGGCAGGTCTCCCTTCCCACGCTCTCCCTAAGGCTGTCTCTTATTCTTCCTGCTCATACAGGTCAGTGAGAGAGCTCTCTGCCTTCAAAGCAGAGAAAGGCAGCTGAGAACACAAGTTAGCAAAAGGAAATGAAACAACAGCAACTACCAGATGATTAATGCTACCAATATGAACCTTGCTGACAGCTCAGAGCCTGGGCAACTTTGCTGAAACAGACAGACTTAGTCTTTCAAAACAGGAACTGAAGAAAAAGAAGCTACCCACTGGGTATGTCTAAACCCATAGAAGAGTGATAAACATGTCTGGATTGAAGGAACTGGCTGGAGAAAATTTCTGGCAATGTTTGCCACTCTTTATCTGGGTGCTCAACATCCACTCAGCTCAGTGAGCAGACTTTGAGCTACCAGTACAATGTCTGTTGGCTGAAAACTCAAAGGCAGCAGCACGTGAACTGGTCTTCAGTTTTTCAGAGTTGTATTTTTCCACCCTGACCTATATTTCCAGTGATGAGTAATTTTTGTTTTCTATTTTTCCCCTCAAAGTGCAGCAGGCTGCAAAAGCTTTGCCCCAGCTGGGCTTTCCAACCCTTGCTGCCTATTGCCACATGGCAAAAAGGCAGCACCTTGTACGATGATCCCACCCTGTACCACAATCTCACCCCACAGTCACTCCTAGACCACCAGCCTCCCATTTCACTTACAGAGTCAGGGGATGCTGTAGAAAACCCAAAGGCATAAAGAAGAAACACATTGAAATATTTGTTGCGTGAGCGCATGCAAGCACAAGATGTGCTCAGTTTTCCGTTACGGGTTTATGGCATATTTATTCATATCATAAAAACAGCTCCCGAGTGGCAGGCTGAAGTCATTGACGCATTAGCCCTGGTGTGAAACTTTCCACAAAAAGCAAATAAGGGCTTTCCCCAGGCCTTGGGGTTACAACAGGGATCTGCATCCTGCTCTGACCAAGAGCCCTGTACTTGGGATTTAAAGTTACCTGAAATAAAGATCTGTACTCTGCAGCCACGTGGTTTTTCCCATCATGGCTGTTGCACAACATGCCCTTTACAATTGAGGGACTGGTTTCACTCTGTGTGGCCAGGACACATGCACCCCAGCAGAGACAGAAAATTAGTTTTATTGCTTATCATACCTCCTGCCCACATTACAATGCCAGTTCACTCTCCTGAAGGAATTACAACACTTTGGTATTGTCTCAAAGCACTGGAGACCAGCAGGATTTGAGGGGCTAATTTGTAACTCATAGGACCATCTAAGATGAAGTCCCAGTTTCCTCATGTTCTTTTTCTCATCTTTACATTTGCGGTCTGGTCACAGTTGATATGCTGATAAGCAAAATAAGAACAGCACAAGCATTCAAACATCAGGGGCATCCTATTGGGCCAAAGCAGAAAAAGGCTTACACAACATCTTCTAAGATTTATAATTTGGGGAGGAGGAACATCACCTCTAGGAATCCAGCTTTATTGGATACTCTAATCCAGAAGAGATGAAAGCCCTTACTAATTACTGCTGGGTTTTCTTTGAAGAATTGGGTTAAATCTCTTTTGAAAGTAGATGTCTGTTTGTGTTCATTAGATGTATAATTTAATTTGTTTAGGACCTTTTCCTCTTTTAGGGTTTTGTTCAAATGATAACTGTGTTTTCCCTTCTCCTTTCCCTCTCTTTTCTCCCTAAAGATAGGAACTTTTCATTCATTCTAGATGCCTTAATTTAACAAGGACCATCTCCAAAATGATGCATCTTCTTTGGGGCTTATTTTTGTCTCCTTATTTCCCCACCTTGAAAATGTATTGCCTTTATTAAAAA